CTGCCCAGTGGAACTTTCCAGAACAAGGGACCGTGTCTCTGTGCCGACTGTCTGGTGCATGTTGCTTGTGAGACTGAGGACATGAGTTTTCACGTAATTCACTCTTAGTGACGTGTCCACGGCCCCACGTGGCCGGCGGGCTCCCCGGGCCCCACGGCGGCAGACAGTGGCCCAGGCTGTCCTAGGGCAGCTGGAGTGAACCCGCGCTGTTGCAGGAAGGACAGATGCCGGCGCAGGATCACCTCTCACTTTTCGTGGTGTCTGGCCCCCGGGAGAGGCTGCGTTCGATGGTGCAGTGGGAGGGGTGCTGGGAGGGGACACTGGTCTCATCCTTGGGGACTGAGGGGGAAGGCTGGGGAGGGCGGCCGAGCCGCTGGAAGAGTCTAGAATGCAGCCTCCTGGAAACAGATCCCACCCAGGTCAAGGCAGTGACCGCAGGACCTCCCCGGCTCAGCCGCGCGCCCTGCCAGCGGATGCACCTGGTCCAGCCTGTCCCCGAAGCCTCCAGAGCCTTGGAACCTCCACCAGGAAGTACCCCCCACGGCGGTCAAGGACACGCAGACATCCTGGAGGCGGCTTTGCACACGGGTTACTAGGACAGCAGAGAGGGGGGCGGCGGCACGGGCCCCACACTTCTTACCCAGCCTGCCCACGACGCCAGCTTCCCAGCCCCTCCTCTGCCTCTGGGGCCCCCAAGTCAGAGACGGACAGGGCACCGAGGGGCCAGGCCACGCGGGAGCCGGGGGTGCCGAGCAGAGGCGGTGGCAGGGGTGGCTGGCTCCTCGGCCCACACAGGCCCGTGAAGGCCACAGGGAAACATGCTGGTCGATCCGGGACGAGTAGGTCATCACCCGGGTGTAGACGGCAGGAGAGTCGGTGTGCCCAGAGGCCACGCCCCAGCTCAGCACTCCCACTTGGATCCACATGTCCAGCCAGTGACAGACCAGGGGGCCCCGGCGTCACCCTGCAAGGGGTGCTCACAGGTCAATCGGCCGCAGGGCGCTCGGTGGCCCCAGGGCAATGCCCCTGAGCCCTGAAGGGGAAGGCAGGGGCGGGGCCCGGGTCTCACCTGGCGGGAGCCCCTCCCCCTCCGCCCTGCACACAGCACGTCCTCCTCGATGACCCCGCCTCGGCCTCCAGCAGGGGAGCCCTGGCTGTAGATCTTCTCGCAATCCTGGTTCCCCACGATGGGGACCTCCGCCTCCTGCAGGGGGCGGCCCGGGGCTGGCGGGGCTGCGGGAGGGGCTGCGGGAGCGTCCAGGGGCTCGGGAGCCGGGTGACCCCCGCCCGGGCCGCGCCCCTCAGACTCTCACAGGCCTGCCCTTGCTTTGATGGGAAAAGGATGGGAGTCGCGGCCGGTTCAGGGCAGTGTCTCCGAAAGCCCCCCTATGAAACCAGAGGCCAGGCTTGGATATGCTGGAGAAAGGCCGCGCAGACACAGGCAGGCCACGCGAGGGTCCCTGTCGTGACGGACGGTCACGCGGTGGGGTTTTTAAAGACTTTACTAACGACCAAGAGGCCGAGATGCCACACCAGGCCTGGGGGCCCCAGAAAGGACCCCAGAAAGGGCCGGAAGGGGCTTTGAGGGATCTTTGGTGTCCGGAGCCACACGGTTCCCTGGCGCGTCTGGCGGTCACCATACGTGGCGGTGCCGGAGGAAGCCACACCTTCGCTCTCACCCTACAGGCCCCCCCAGCCAGTGACACCAGCCAGGCCGGGGGGGAGCCCCTGCCACGGCCGCCCGTGATCTGAGCGCGGGGCCGCCATCACCCCGGCCTCAGTTTCCCCATCGTAATCCCCGGTGGGCAAACAGCCTGAGTAAACGGGCAGGGAGGGGCAGTGAGGGGACCTGTCCTCCCCGGAAAGCACAGCCCCCCCCCGGAGAACGAGTCCCGAGCCACCGGCTTCCCAGCCGCAAGCAGAAGCGACCCCGCGCTCCTGGGCTGCTGTCCGAGTCTCAACAGAACCTTCTAAGAGGCCTCGCGAGGCCGGGCCGGGGTGGGCAGCCAGCAGTCGGGCCGGCTCACCTGTGACGGGCACGCCCCCCCCACAACTGAGGCCGTGGGCCGTGCGGTCCCCCCAGCGCCCCACGTCCTCTCCCTTGACCTTCATCCAGGTCCCCCAATCTTACCGTGGGACCCAAAGGTGCCCCAGCCGGCCCCCCAGCACTAGGCTCCGGGGCTGGGCACCAGCGAGTCGGGAGCAAAGCTGGCAGGGCCCACGTGCTCGGGGAGCAGCCCCGGGGCCTCCAGCCGCAGCACGGCGAGGCCCAGCCCCCCGGCCACACAGGCTCCCGTTGAACTTGGGGTGGCGGATGATCTCGGCCACCTTGTGCAGCCGGTCGTGGTCACAGAGTCTCAGCTGCCCGACCTGGAGCCTGTATTTCTGTGGCTCCAGCACGTCCCTGGGAGAGAGGAGGCCGGGTGGGCACGGGCACCCGGTCCCCCCACCCCACGGCAGAACCGCTTCCAGGGGCTCAGAGCCGCGTGGACCCAGGGGCTCCTGGCCCAGGACGCCGTCCCCTCCCATCATCCTGCGCCTCTGCGCGCTCCCCTCCCACCCCCTCCCCTGCCAGGGGGGCGGCCAGGGAGTCACTCGCAGCCCCGGGCAGTGGGCCGCGGTCAGCACCCACTGGGGGTGGACGAGGGAGCCCCGCACTCACGCTGCCACTGGTCACGCTCCTCATTGAGGACCCTCAGGCTGACCTGCCACGGCCACTTCCCGGCAGGGACCTCACGCACCCCGGTGACACCCTCAGTCCCCAGGCCGGGATCTGGGGAGGCCCAGAGGGGAGCCAGCAGGGGCCAGAGGCTGCTGCCTGGAGCTCAGCACGGCCTCCCACCCCATCGGCATATGGAGGTAGCCCCCCTGTCCCACCCCAGGTCAGGGCAGGCCTGAGGTCCTCAATGGGTTTCGGGATCCCAGGAGCGCTGCACGGGCTAGCACTCACTGGGGGTCACGGGCACAGAGCCCCCCAGGCAGGGGAGGGTCAGGAAGAGCAGCCACAGCATCTGCGGGGGGAGAAGGGAGGCCTGGAGTCAGGAGCCCCGCATCCGGGACGGAGAGAGCAGGGGTCTGGGCTGTGACCTCACCCTTCCTGGTGCTCTGCCTTCTGCCCCTGGGGCCTCTGAGCCCCTTTATCCTGCAGGCCCAGGAAGTGGGTGGGGCGGGAGCCGGGAGTCTGAGGGCAGTCCCCCCCCCCACCACCAGTGGTCCAAATGCCAGCATTTGCCCAGAACCCACTGTCGCTGGCCCAGGGCCAGGTTCAGGGGCCAAGCCCCCCCCAGGGGTGAAAGGGCGTCCTGGGGCGACAGGAGGGCCCGGGGTCAGGTGAGGCCCATCCTGGGAGTGCAGTCAGACCACAGACCCCAAGAGTAAGGGGGGGCCTTGTTCTCCAGGCCCCGGCCTGAGTCCACACCTCCCCCCCGCCGGACCCCCCGGACCACCAGCTCCCCGGGCAGCTCACAGGAGCTCTGGCAACCTGACCCCAGCCGGTGACCTCGTGGGGACCCAGCACGGCCTGCCGGGAGGCCTCCTCCCTCTTCCCGGGACAGGACGCCGCCTGGGCTGGCACAGGGGACGGCTCTCCAGGCTCAGGGCTGTGCCCGGCGGTGGTTTCGCGGGTGACGGTGCCGTGACCCGGGAAGCCCGGGTGGGTCCCTGCGGGTACTGACACCTGGGATGAGGGGGCAGGATGCAGCCCGTGGGTGTCCCCACCCCCCACCCCCCATCACCACAGCCGACCTGCCCTTGTCCGCCCTCCGCCTCCCCGCCGCCACTCAGCTGGGTCCCTGCCATGGCGTCCCCAGGTCACGTGGCCGCACCCACTTTGCGGAGACGGGACAACAGCCCGCCGGGACCCTGTGAAGGGTCCCCGCCCTCTGGGGGGGCTGGCACTAGGCCCCCTTGTGGGGCTGCTCCCTGCGTGGTCCTACAGCCGACCGGCGGCTGTCCTCTGGACGACACCCGTGTCCCCAGTGCAGGGAGGGTGCCCAGGAGGCCCTGACTGGTTTGTGGACACAGATGTCCTGTGGCTTCTCCAGACACTTGTTTCCCGGTTTGTCAGCTACGAATTAATCAGTAAAACGGAAGCTCTGAGCTCTTTAAAATTTTTCAGTTCCATGTTTATTTAGTATGTTGTTTCTTTTTTAAGGTGGCTGGGGGCTGGCCGGGGGGCGGTGGAGGGCAGAGCTGCGGTGGAGGGCAGAGCTGCGGCTCCGGGAGCGGAGCGGGCCCGGGAGGACAGGAGTGGCCGGGGCGTCCCCGATGTGGGGCCTCCACGCTGCGGGGCTGGGCGTTCGGGACTCGCAGACAGGCGCGTGGGGCAAGGGGAAGTCCATCCAGCCGGGAGATCCAGAGGCGCCGAAGGGACCCCCATTCTCCTGGTGAAGTGTCCTTGCAGGGCAACCTGAGAGACGGACGTCATCCCCACAGGGAGCCCCTGAGGGGACCTGGGCTTACAGGACACGTTATCAGAATGAACCAGAGACATTTTGATTTGTCAGATGGGACATTTAAAATCCAGAAAAGAACCTGGTGCCAGAAAGGAGGGAAATGGTCTGTAGAAGGGGCCTGACACAGTCCAGGAGATCAGGGTGTCCGGAAGGGGCAGAGGGCAGGGGAAGGGCCCCCCAGGGGCAGAGGGCAGGGGAAGGACCCCCCAGGGGCAGAGGGGAGGGGGAGGGCCCCCCACGGGCTCCCACCGGATCCAGAGCCTTGCATTGCGCCATCCCCCTGACATTCACTCGGGGTCCCCCGGGAGCCACCCCTCTCCTCCCCGCCTAGCCTAAAGATGCCAGCACCCGGGACCCCTACAGGCAGGTGGGCCAGCACCCCCTGAGCCCCAGACACACCACAGTCAAGCACAGAGGCGGCCTTGGGCGGTTTTCCCACAGCGTTTAATGAGGCTCCGTAAACAGTTGTCCATCATTCCTGGGCTCCTTCCCACTCTGGACTCCCCTGGGCAGCCTCCCCTGCTCCCCCCCCCACCCCGCAGGGAAATGCGTTGCCAAGACAGAGGACCTGGGGTCTGTCCCTTCTAGGCCACGGGGCCCAGGGGGACGTGCCGGCGGATCCAGGGCATGTAGCTCGTCACTCGGGTGTACACCCCGGGGAGGTCGTGATGACCACAGGCGTCACCCCAGCTCACGACCCCCACCTGGAACCAGGTGCAATTCCAGCTGCACACCAGGGGGCCCCCGGAGTCACCCTGCGGAGGACACGGGCCTCAGCCGGGCTTCCCGTCCCCGTGGCCCCGGGCTAGCAGGGGACAGAGGAGGGGCCCAGGGCAGCGGGGGGCGTCACCTGGCAGGAGTCCCGGCCCTCACTCCCAGCGCACAGCATGTCAGCGCGGATGAGGTCGTAGCCGCCGCCCGAAGAGTTCCGGTACCGCCGGCTGCATTCCCGGTTCCCCACCACGGGGACCTCCACCTCCTGCAGGCGGTGGGGGGGAGGCAGAGGCACTGCGAGGAGGCGCTGCGTGAGAACAGGGCTCCCTTCTTCCCGCGCACACACTCCTCCCGCCGCGTGCCGGCCGGTCCCGACCCTGGTCCGCACCCACCACCGTAGGTACAGCCCACGACCACCCTCCCGAGCTCTGGCCTCACGGCCTCACGACTCCTAAGGGACCAGATGCCCATACAGCTCCAGGACGCAGTGCTCCCTCGCGGGGTCTGGGCCCCCGAGCCTGAGGACAGGCCCCAGGGGGGGGCCCCCCGAGTCTGCAGGACTCACGCCCCCCTGGGGAAGCTCTGCCTCGGCCACAGAGGAGCCCAGCGCCATGTGGGTCACCCAGACTCGGCGAGCCTGAAGTCCCTCCCCCGTGACGTGACCACCCTTGTGGCCTCCGACCGTGGTGGCCAGAGTCCAGCTGGGATACCGCAGGGGTCTGAGTTAAATCAGAACCGCCTGCCCAGGGCAAGTGTCTAATTCCTGAGGCCTGTTCCAGAAACTTCCTGTCCAAAAGCCTGGCATCCCGCCCGACCCTGGGGACCCCAAAAGGCCCTTGCAGTGAGCCACCCTCTATAAAGGCCCAGCCACCCCATCCCCCCATCCTTCCCCAGCGAGTCTCCCCGATACCTACAGTTGTTCCCAATGCCACCCCAGCCGGTCACCCAGCACATCGTCCTCGAGGGGACCCGTAGGGAGGCAGGCGGGAGGGAGACCGGGCTGACGTCCTCGGAGAGCATCACCGGGGCCTCCAGCCTCAGCAAGGCGATGTCCGCGCCCCCCCAGGCAGACAGGCTCTCGTTGTAGTTGGGGTGGCGGATGATCTCCGCCACCTTGTGCAGCTGGTCGTGGTCATAGAGTCTCAGCTGCCCGACCTGGACCCTGAAGGCACAAGCCTCCAACTCCTCCCTGGGGGAGAAAGGGCTGAGGGCTTCTCAGGGGAGGTGGGGGCCCCCAGGAAGCCCACCCCCAGGGGAAGGACCCTGCACACGGCCCCCTCCACCCCGCCTGCACCCAGCTGCGGGGATGGGGCGTCACCACTCACGGCTCAACGCAGTGGGCAGCGGTCAGCACCCACTCGGGGTGGATGAGGGAGCCCCCGCACAGGTGCTCCCACAGGTAATACGTCATGCTGTAGAACCTCAGGCTGACCTGCCACGGATACTTCCGGGCGGGGACGTCGCAGCCGCCCACGATGCCCACCAGCTCTGGTCCCAGGCCAGGCTCTGCCGAACAGGGTGAGGGGCCATCAGGGGCCCAGACAACGGCCTTCCGGGGCTCAGGAAGGCACAGGGAAGCGTTTCCCAAGGAGACAGTCCCCACACCCCTGGGCTAGTTCTGGGAGCCCTGAACACATTGGAGGGGATCAGGACTCACCGGGGGTCACGGGCGCAGAGCCCCCCAGGAAGGGGAGGGTCAGAAACACCAGCCACAGCATCTCCGGGGCCTGGAGGGAAGAGCTCAGAGCCAGCTTTCTCCTCGGCGGCCCCTTCCCCGGCCGGCCCTCCCGGCCCCCATTTATCCTAGTAACACAGGAAGTGGCCGGGGCGGACCAGCCCTCCTCCGGGGGACGCTCTGTGGCTGCACAGGCCTTCTCCTTCCGTGGGGGACCGCTAGTGCCAGGGCACAGCCAGGCTGGGCGGGCGGCGAGGAGACCCCCGGGCTGCGCTGTGGGAGTGGGTCCCTCGTGAGAACGCGGTCTCGTGAACCTGGTGTGTGGAGACAGTGAGACACGCCCCCACCCCGCCCGGCCGCTGCCTCAGGGCGCTGACTTGAGGCTTAGATGAACTTGAAGCCATCTGCCCTCAGCCTTGCTGCCAGCCCTCAGCCCTTGGTTGCGCTGCTCTGGGCCCCGGTCACTCCTGGACGCTGGCATGCGCCGTGGAGGCCTGGAGCCGATGGCCTGGGGGAACAGCACCTGCGCCCTGGCCCCAGGGGACTCGCGGTCACAGGCTCGGGAGTGGGGCTCCAGGGGCTCCCAATCCAGGCCGCAGGACGGTCTCGGCCACACGGGAGTGGGGGCCGGCTGTCGGAGGGCCCGGGGGACCTTGGGGACTCAGGCTTCTCTGAAGACTATGTCAGCATCCCAGGAGCCGAGGGGACAATGTGGTCAATGTGTCCCTGAACGCAGCCTCCAGGCGCAGGGCACACGGGGGCGCACGGGGTGGGGCGGAGGGTGCAGAGGGCCCAAGCCGGGCCCAGTTGAAGGCTGTGGAAGAATCTGGGGAAGACGGCCGTGACATTCCAGGGCCCTTCCCTGGCCCCAGTCACCGCCCCTGCGAGCCTGCCGCCTGTGGACCAGCCGCGGGCCACCTTCCAGGGGAGCCTGAGGCCTACAGACGGTTCTGGAAGGGCGTGGGGGGAGAGGCGTGTGTGTCTGAGAGGGTCTGCGGCTTCTGCTGGGAGAGCCCTCTGTCATGGCCCCAGCGGTATCCCCCGCATGCACATGTTCAAGGGCTGACCCCCAGCACCTCGGGCGTGGCTGCACCTGGAGACGGGGTCTCTACACGGGCAATTCAGGTAAAATGGGGCCACACGGGCTGCACTCCACTCTGGGTCCTGTAAGAGGCAATGAGGACACAGACAGACCCAGAGGGACCCGGCGAGGGGCCCAGGAGGGGGCCTGCCCTATCTGGATCCGGCCCTCTAGCCTCCAGGAGGGAGACAGACACACTTCCGCGCTGAGGCTGCCCCGTAGGTGGGGTTGGGGGGCTTTGCCCCGAGCAGCCGGCACCCTCCACCCTCTGCTCCCGTCATGCAGTGCGGCTGAGCTGCGGCCTCTCAGGACCAGGATGGATGGATTCCTGGCAGCTCCCTCCCGTGGGCATTGTACCACTCTGTCTACGACTCGTGGACGGTGCCCCAGTGGGCTCGAACTTCCAGCCGGCTTGGTTTCTCTTCCATGGAGAGTGTCTCCCCTGCTCACCTGAGAGGGGGGACATGAGGGAGCGTCCCCGGTCCTCCGGCTGCTGGGAAACTTGCGTCGGAGACCCTCCCACGCTGCGCTGGCCTCAGCCACTCCCCAAGGCACCCACAGGCGATGGAGCAGTGGCCCTGGGCCCCGGGCCCAGCGCATCCTGCATCACAGCTGAGCGACAGAGATGGGGAGATGCACGGAGGCCCACACAGCCCCGGAGAAGGGGCGAGAACCCCCAGCCCCAACCTCAGGGCAGGAGACAGCTGCCTGGTTCTCTGCTGAGGCTGGCTGTGGACCGCAGGGCCAGGGCACAGGCAGGGCCAGGGCATGCGGCAGCATGGTGTGGGGGGCAGCGGGGAGCCCCGGGGCAGGTCAGGGAGGGCACTCTCATCGGGGCGGCCCTGGCTCCCTTCAGCAGGGGCCCCCAGAAGGGGCGGGAGACCCCAGAAAAGGCCTTCGGCCCAGAACCTGCAGGTGCCCAGGGGACCAGCCACAGGTGCGGCCGGACACAGAGCCTAAAGGCGCAAACGGGGCCTGAGGAGACCCTTCCGCCTGCATAGTTCCAGGGCCCATTTGAACCCCAGGGGCCCGTCTGATGATTTCCGTGTGACAGTGTGAGTCAGGCGGCCCTGGAGAAAGCCGTGGGCGATAGGTGGGCACCGCCGTGTGCTCCTGCCCACTCCGACCAGGAAGCCGGGGCCGGACCGGGTCAGTGCGCACACATGGAGACACGCGCACGCACTCACCATTCTGCGTGTCATTAAAGGCGAGAAAAGTCATTTAGAAGCGAGCAGACGCCTTTTAAGGGCAACGCAGCCTCTCAAGCCTTTGATGCTCTTTGCAACAGTTTAGATAAAACTCTTCAAGGAAAATGTTGCAAGATACATATTCAGCAAAAGAAATCAAGTACCGTGATAAAGGTTACCGTAATCCTTTTCAAAAAGATGGTATCAAAGACCAAGAGGAGCCGTATCCACAGTAACCCAGAGTCAACAATCTAGATGGTATGTATCAGCACAACGGAATCAGGAAAGTGAGGCTCTGAGATACGAGGTGCGTGCGGCGCCGACGCGATCTCATCTTCCAGCGGCCGTCTGTTCTAGAAGACAGGGAGGAGAGGGAGAAGAATGGCGGGGGCAGTGGAACGATACAAAACATCATCCACCGATGTGGTAGGAACCAGTCTGAGCCTGTCAGCGAATGTAATAGATTGTAATTAACCCGAGGGACAGACCTTACTGGCTACAAATGGAATTCTGAAGGTGGACTGGATATTCAGACACATGCACAGATCACACGTGGTTTACAAGACAGACGCCGAAGCTGAGGGGGAAAGGGCAGGAAAATGCTAGACCCCACATAGCATGATTTGGTGAAAAGTGTTTTGGGCAAGTTAGAGTTTGTCAAAATTAAGGACACACTCAAAGAGGGGCGCCTGGGGGGCTCAGTCGGCTGAGCCTCCGACCCTTGATTGCAGCTCAGGTCATGGTCCCCGGGTCTGGGGATCGAGCCCCGTGTCGGGCTCTGTGCCGAGTATGGAGCCTGCTTGGGATTTGCTCTCTCCCTCCCTGCCTCTCCCCTGCTCACGTGAGCTCTCTCTATAAATCAATTAATTAATTCTTAAAAAATAATTCTAAAATGGTTAAGTATACTAGATGATTAGGATTTTTCTAATATTTTTATTGTGGTGCAATATACATAACGTAAAATGTATCTTAAATATTTTAAGCACAAGGTTCTGTGGCTTTAAATATATTCACAATGTACACACGTCCCACCATCCACCTCCGGAACTTTCTCATCTCGCAAAACCGATGCTCTGGCCCCCGGCGCCTCGCCCCTCCACCTGCTTCCCCTGCCCGTGGATCTGATGGCTCCAGGGAACTTTGTCCTACTGTATGGTCCTGGGTCCCCCCCCAAGGTACAGGAATGCGGGCAACATCCTCGGGTTTCATCCGTGTTGGGGCAGAATCCCCCCTTCTCGAGGCTGAATCACAGTCCCCTGCTCAGACCGCACAGCGTTGACCCGGTGGCCCGTCGCTGGACGCCCCATCTGCTCCCGGCCTTCAGCCCTTGTGAACAGGCCGCTGTGAACACACGTGGGCTCCTCGGATGTACTTTTGCGGAGCCCGGACTGGTGGGGACATGAGCTGTGGTCCTGGGCCCCGCATGTCACAGAGCCGTTAACACCTACAGATTGAACGCGATCCCTGTGCAAATTCCAGATGGGCCTTTTCACAGGCTCTGATGAGATTTTCCAAAAGCACCCCAGGGCTCACGGGCCAGCAGAGACACGGACCCTTCTGGAGAGGAACGGCGGGGAGGGATGCCCTTATGACAAATCAGGACTCCCTAGGATGCTGTCATGGGACCGTGCTTCCTTCCACGTGGCTCTGTCAGACTGACTCTGGCCGGTGCCCACACTGAGGTAAGCACCTCTGGGTCGCTAGTTGGGTTCTGAGCCGGCACTGCGGCCCCTGATGCCTCTGAGCGCCCGTTCCCCACCTGAAGCCTGACAATGTCCTCCTGGGGTAAAGCTGGCAGAGGACACTGCATGTGTCCCCTTACCGGGACCAGTGCTGATGATTGGTCTTTCAGTCAATCAACAAACACGTACTGAGCCCAGCCCCGTGCCGGTCACAGGGCGGTGAGAACACAGCACACAGAACCGGCAGAGGGTCTGCCCCAGTCTGGGCTGCAGAGTCAGGTCACTGGAGACAGTGAGAAACGCAGAGAAGACACAAAGCGGGTAACAACCAGGGCTATGTGCAAACTAGGCTTCTGTTCGGGGTCCTCACTACTCCTCGGGATAAAAGGACACACCTGAGGACGGGGGGCTTGCAGGTGGGGGTGAGGCCGTCCGTCTTCTCCCTCCCCGAGGACCCGAGCAGCCCTGCGATGCCTGAGGACGGGAAGGGACCCCAGGGATGGAGAGAAAGGGCTCGAGGCACCGCCTTGGAAGTGGGTGGATCAGAGCCCCGCGGTGCAGGGCGGGCTTGCCGGGTGTCCCCAGCAACCCGCCTGCTTGGGACTCCTTCCAAGTGCCCTGCGTGGGCACAACCACCCCCCAAACACTGACATTGGGCCGTCCACCCGCTTGCAGTCCACCGTTCTGTGGCGGACAGTCGTGTGACACGGTGTCTCACCAGAGAGAAGGTAGGTGGGTGTGCACAGGCTCCTCCGCACCGAGATGCCCCCGAGGCTTTACGGGGAGGGACTCGCAGACCCGCCGCGGGGTCCCCTTGCAGAGGCCACCCGGGCGCCCTCCCGCCCCGCCCCGGACACAGCGTTCACACAGGCTAATCAGACACGGGGTGGCCGTGAGCCCCACCCAACCCGGGCCCCGGCCCCTTGCCCGTCCATCACAGCCACTGAGGGGCTACACGGGCTCGGGCAGCCCAGGGGCCAGGAGAGAAGCCAGTGCCCCGTCGGGGCAGGGAGTGGCCGTTCCTTCTCCTCGCCGTGGGGTCTGCAGCAGCCTCCCCTGGCCTGAAGGTGGGGGTCTGGGGTCAGAGACCAGGCGGGAACTGCAGGGAAGGGGTGCGGACACGCCT